TGTTGCCAAGGCATTGAGATCATGACAACTTTGGGCTAAGTCGGGAAGGGGGAGATTTGTTGGATAATCCCTCCATTAGCCCAAACAAATTATGAGAAGAATGAAGACAACTCTAGAATTATGGAGAATGTTCTAGAGTTATGGAGAAACTTAAGAAAAAATATGGAGAATTAGAGAATGTTCTAGAGAATACTAGATAAATGTTACCTAGGTTAAGAAGTTTAGAGAGAATTCTAGAATAAGCTAGGGCTTAAGCCACCACTCTTATAAATAAGAGTGTTTGGTGTCATTTGTAATCCATCCAACAAGAATAAGACCCATGAACACATCTCTTGTAAACTCTCTTATACTAAATGCTTTCTAATAATAAAAATAGTTTGGTTTGAAATTCTAATTGTCTAATTCCCATCTTATTCTCACAATTGAAGATTTTTGGGTAATTTTCCCAACAGCTAATACTCTAATTGTTTTTGTTTCGTTTTTTCAAATTTTGCGATTTCATTAGTTGAAGAAAACAAAAATTATTAAAATATTTGTACTTTTATTAGCTTTTAACAAAATACCACAAAAGGTCTAAAAACGGTTCCATACGAGCCTGTCGAAATTAGCTTAAATTGGGTTTAACTTAGTATGAAGTAATTTATCTTATAGCTTTAGTTATGGTCACCAATTCAACAATTTGGATTTTGACATCGTCGATAGCGTAATTTTCTGATAAATTGATCAACTTCCATACTTGAAGATTAAAATACGTCAGTTGAGATTTGAATTTAGAAAATTATACACATGATCTCGTTGGCAAAAAGAAAATAAAATACGTCTAATGATTTCAAAAACCAGTCATTTTCACTTACCGAAAACATTACTAAACGAGAGGCTAAGCAACCAAATAGTTACAAAATATATAAAATAAAATTTACATACTAAATGAGTGGGCTAAGCAAGCAACATGTTACTGCAAAGCAAGTTTTCAAAAATCTGAGACAATCTTCAAAATCCGTAAATAATTTCTCTAAGTGAGTTTTGAAAATGTAAAACTCGGATTTACGAAGTGAAAATTCATTAAAGATTTTGGAAAATTTTGGTTTACATGATTCATTCGATCTTAAGGGTGGTCGTATAAAAATGAATTCATCTTTGATTTCGAGGGATTTTTGGATTACGAAACAGTTATAGGTAGATATCTAAAAACTTTCTTGAATTGGAGAGACTTAAAACAAAATTATTCGTATTTTTTATTTCTTTCATTGTATACAAAAATAGTAATTTAAAGCTCAGATATCAACTTCGAAGGTACTCCATATTATTAACAAACGTTACGGTGATTCCCTAACGTCTTTCAGAAAGTTGCTTAAAAGCCTTCTTCTTTGATTATATATTTTTCTTAATAATGTTATTTTATACGTTTTAGCACATTGAATTTCTCATTCCTAGACCTAGAAATTATTATTTTGTAATATTATGAGAGATTCACCAACCTTTTGTTTGCATTTTGACACTATATAAGCATTTGAAACATACCACGATATCTTCAATACAAATACAATCTGTATAACCAAAAGCAGTATAAGAATAAACACAAACCAAATCTCATCATTGCATCAAACCGGAAAATTGAACCGGAAATGAAGATAATCCGAAACCCGGGTTTTCTCTTTCTCTTCTTTTATCTTCTTGGATTTCTTGGCGATTCTCCGGTGGATGCAGCAGTGAAGAAGTACCAATTCGATGTACGTGTTCGATTTCCCCGTGAAAAATAAACCGGAATACAAATTTTACCGGTTTATATATAGTTGAGTTGCATTGGATATGTAGGTTTTTTGTACTAATGTTATGGAATTTGAAACAGGTTCAAATGAAGAACGTAAGCCGGTTATGCAATCGTAAACCGATGGTCACGGTTAACGGAATGTTCCCTGGACCGACGGTTTACGCAAGAGAAGGTGATCGGGTCATCATCAACGTCACTAACCATGTACAATACAATATGTCCATCCATTGGTAAAGTCTCTTTCCTACGCCTCAAACCGGTTTAGTCATTATTTGTGAACCAAAAATTCAACGGTTTGTTTTTTTTAGGCATGGGCTTAAACAGTACCGGAACGGTTGGGCAGATGGTCCAGCATACATAACTCAGTGTCCCATGCAGACCGGGCAGAGTTATGTTTATGATTTCAATGTGACCGGCCAACGAGGGACCCTCTGGTGGCACGCACATATCCTCTGGCTACGAGCCACTGTGTATGGAGCTATTGTGATCTTGCCTCAACAGGGAAATTCGTATCCGTTCCCACAACCATACCAAGAAACCAACATAATCCTCGGTTCGTGAAATAAACCGAACCGTTCGGTTTAGTCCGGTCTGGTACAATATTCCAATTAAGTTTTCTCATTTTTCTGTTTGATTGCAGGAGAATGGTGGAATGGAGATGTTGAGACAGCGGTTAACCAAGCCAACCAGTTGGGCTCAGCGCCTCAGATGTCGGATGCTCATACCATAAACGGAAAACCCGGTCCGCTTTTTCCATGTTCCGAAAAACGTAAAAATTCTAAACCTTATAAAGCCATTAATATTAATCGGACCGGATAAATAATTTTCTGTTTCTATATAGACACATTCGTGATAGAGGTCGAAGCGGGCAAAACATACCTTATAAGGATTATCAACGCGGCTTTAAACGACGAGCTGTTCTTCGGTATTGCCGGCCACAACATGACGGTGGTGGAAATCGATGCGGTCTACACTAAACCGTTCACAACCAAAGCCATTTTAATCGGACCAGGACAAACCACAAACGTTCTTGTCAAAACAGACCGTTCTCCAAACCGCTATTTTATGGCAGCTAGACCATTCATGGACGCTCCAGTACCGGTAGACAACAAAACAGTAACCGCGATCCTTCAATACAAAGGCATACCAAACACGGTCTTACCGACCTTACCAAACCTTCCTTTACCAAACGACACATCATTTGCTTTGGACTATAATGGAAAGCTCAAGAGCCTTAACACACCAAATTTTCCGGCTCTTGTACCGTTAAAAGTGGACCGGCGACTATTCTACACGATCGGGCTAGGCATCAACCCGTGCCCGACCTGCGTGAATGGGACAAATCTTGCCGCTTCTATAAACAATATCACATTCATTATGCCGAAAATCGCGCTCTTGAAAGCTCATTACTTCAACACCCCGGGAGTTTTCAGGACTGATTTTCCGGATAGACCGCCCAAACCGTTTAACTACACTGGTGTGCCACTCACGGCTAACCTTGGGACATCTACGGGGACTAGACTGAGCCGAGTTAAGTTCAATACAACAATTGAGCTCGTCTTGCAAGACACCAATCTCCTAACCGTTGAGTCACACCCTTTCCATCTTCACGGCTACAACTTCTTTGTAGTTGGAACCGGTGTTGGAAACTTTGATCCCAAGAAAGATCCGGCTAAGTTTAATCTCATTGACCCGCCCGAGAGAAACACCATTGGAGTACCCACCGGTGGTTGGGCTGCCATCAGATTCAGGGCTGATAATCCAGGTATGATCTTATCAATGCACATATAAGAAGATGATGATGATAATACGATTAGCAGCTCAACTGATCAATGCATATGTTATTGCAGGTGTTTGGTTTATGCACTGTCACTTGGAAGTCCATACAATGTGGGGTTTGAAGATGGCTTTCGTCGTCGAGAACGGGAAAACACCTGAGCTTTCCGTCCTACCACCGCCCAAAGACTATCCGTCCTGTTAATGAATCCGAAACCGGAACACATTACTCGTTTATTTGTTTGATATTCTTTGTTGATTGTATTTCCCTTCTGTTGATTTGTGTCTGAGATTGTTTCGTGTGGGGCTGCACAAGAACGCCCTGAAATTGCATAAGAAATGTAACTAAATGTTTCCAACAAGATCCCTTGTTAATCATTTTCGGATACTTCAAAATAAGCTACTGACAAAAGAACCTAAAACCATCAAATCTCTCAGTGAGGTACTAAGAGAAAGATGAAAACTTTTGAAAACAGAGAGTATCATCAGAAACAAAGGAAACAAAGCTAATCTGTTTGACTAACTCGATATCATCGAGGTCCTGATCATTCTACCTAAGCGAACAAAAAGAAAAGAAAATACTAGTAGTTCTTCATTAAAACAGAGGAGTTTGATCGATGGAACGACCTGACCCGTTCTTGCTACATTGCTGGAGTTGCTTGATCCTTTGGCTTGCAGCATTCTGATTTCTTCTTGAAGTTAAGCTTCCTGGTGAAATTCTTCCAGCTTCTCTTCGACCTCACCAGCTTCTGAAGATCTTGTTTCATGTGCATACACTCTTTTTCCAGCTCAGAAACACGTTCTCTCACGGTCTCACCCCTGGGTTTAAGTAAACCCCCATTGCCGCCATTCGGGTTCTCGGGGTTGTCTAGATTCTCAGAGACAAAGAACCAGCCAGAGATTGATGTCCTGAGCCTAAGCTGTTCGAAAAAGAGAACCTGAACAATCACCCGAAGAGGCAGCCTCTCGTTCTGAGCCGCATGTGTGCTAGCTTCCAATGAGAGCTTCTGGCAATTCATGAGTCTACATATATGCTCTCTCTCTGAATCCGTAATCCATGGATGGGCCTGCAAAATTTGCAATTAGACCTCAGAATCTTAACACATCTATTTGTTAAAACTAAAAACAGCATTTTTATTACCTTCAAGTACACGTCGATTGCGTGATAAACTCCATCATCTAGTGGCCTTGCATAGTCAGGGATTGCAGCAGCAATGGCTTCGAACTTCGCCAGCTTTAGGTTAACATCGGGTGCAACCTCAGCGAGATAACCGTCAACCAGAGTTGCCACTAACGTTGTTGGAGTTAGCAAACCGGATCCATCCTTCACCAAATGTCCTTCTTCAATGATGCTAGGAGAAGGGACAATGCCTGCTTGTTCAGTTGTAGAAACAAACTGTTCAATCATTCTCAAAACGCATTCGACATCATAAAGCGTTTCAGAGTATCCCATGTTTGGTATGAGAAGATCCACTAAAGCAGCTTGGTCCAACTGATTTCCAATCCGTCTCTCAAGATTCTCCCTCGAGGATTGGCTTGCGTGCAGCACCATCGCGGTCTGAAGCAGCCTGAGAAGAAACTTGGTCGGGTTTACACCTTTCTTGCTTGGAAGCAACCCGACAATCTCTTCAAGAGCAGCCTTTTGTTCGGCTTCAGAAGGAGTCGGTGTCTCAATCACTTGCTCATCCATTGTCACTTGTCTATTCATCAGAGGAACATGCTTCCTCGTATAGTACATAACCGCCATTGCAATGTTCTCAAGCTTCATGCCACGTCCTTCGATAGCGCTAATGAGTCTTTTGAAGAGAGGCAAGCTAAGAAAAGAAGCGTCATCAAACCACCAATCTTCACCAGTAGGTTGCAGCATCTTTCCAGACGCTGAGATTCCGTTCCATAAATGCGATTCATCTTCAGTGTTCTGTCCGCTAGTAGCGTTCTTTCCTCCTCCCACGGGCCAATTGAAAAGGCTCGGGTCAGCACAAGCTTTGATAGCTAAAGAATCAACACACCTCGAGATAATGTGAAGATCTTCCGCGTAATCAATCACTTCCTCGCACGTCTGAAGTGCTTTGATCGAGTCAGTCCAGTTCCCAAACACTTCATTCAGAAAAGTCTCCGTCATACCGACAAGATTCCCTTCTCCATAGTTATCAGTCATCTCAAGATACTCAGCTGCACATCTAAGACTAACAACATTGAAAGCAGTAAGCTCAATTTTCACACCGTAACAGAATTTTGTAACCAATTCGAACGTTTTACCGCCTCCCGGTATCTCATCTAAACTCAAAACACAAACTGATCCATCATCAGGTGACGACTCTTCAATTAGCCTCTCAAGAAGCCCACTTCTAGAGAGCAATGGAAACTACACACCACAAATCAAGACACACATTACACAAATTAGAAAACAACCTAAGTTCAATCATCAAGCTTTTCACATTATGCAAAATTGCATCAATCTTAGACCTTGTGAAGATGAAACTTCATGTCTCCAACTTCAATGGTAACATCACTCACGAGTCCTGTGGTGCAAAGCCTGTAAACGAGAGACATTAACACATCACCCAAACAAACAAAAAAATTGGTTCTTGATGTCACAAATCAATCAAAGCTAGCTCTTTTCATAAAAGTCTAATGATTCTATGAAGAACCCATCTCGATTCTGAACTAAAACTAAAGACCCATAAGTCGATTCGTACCAGGTTTGGCCTTCACGATGGAAAGCTTCGGATTTGGAGCCAAGTCTCATAAACGCCATTTTTGGAAGAAAAATAATCTCAGAGAGTGAGTAAGTAATGAAACAGAGAAGTAGTAACAGAGAAGAGAGGGTAAAGGAAAGAGAGTAAGAGACAGTAATTGTCGGACAACGATCCTCATCTTAATTTAGTAAATTCTAC